TCACTATACAAGGAAGAGCAGCCTTCCCACACCACCAAGGGACACTTAAGTTAGCTCCAGTGCTGTGAAAGATAATCCTTGGTTATAGACAAAGTCCACCAAGGATATAGGGGAAGAAAGCTGTACACTTGGGAATAGCTAACTATTTCTAATCCTAGTAAATGTGGTAATCACTAACAAATGAACTAATGACAAGTATGTCCTTTCAATTATCTCTATTACAGCTAGAATAATTTTGACAAAACCTTGAAGTCAAAGTTATGTTAAACAAAATGTGGTAAGGCTGCAGAAAAATTTCAGCACTTGCATTCTCTTTTATAGATGCTTCCAAAAGGGGAAATATTAGCTCCTTGTGAAAACCTAACTCTCACCGGGCACAGTGGTGCATGCCTGTAATCGCAGCAGCTCAGGAGGCTGAAGGAGGAGAATCACAAGTTCAAAGCCAGCCTTAGCAACTTAGCAAGACTCTGTCTCAAAATAAAATATTAAAAAGGGCTGGGGATGTGGCTCAGTGGTTAAGTGCCCCTGGGTTCAATACCCCCAAAAAACAAACCAAAACAAAAAAATACCTTTCAGCTGGTACACAGTAGAGCATGCCTATAATCCCAGTGGCTCAGGAGGCTGAGGCAGGAGAAATGCAAGTTCAAAGCCAGTCTCAGCAAAAGCAAGGCAAAAAGCAACTCAGTAAGACTCTGTCTCTAAATAAAGTACAAAAAATAGGGCTGGGGATGTGGCTCAGTGGTTGAGTGCCCTTGTACCCCTCTCCCTGAAAAAAAAAAAATCACCAAGAACTTTCTAGTTCTCCATATCAACCTTCATGACTATGCAGGTAGATCTAAAGGAGCACAAGAAAGAGACTAGCATTATTAGATAGGATTATACTTTAGTAACTTAGTCTATAATTACTTGTATGCTTAAAAATTTATTTTGAAGTTCTCAATCCAAAGACTCAAAAGAACTTATTGCAAAGATCATCTAAAGTTCACAGAAAAAAGATCAAAGTTGGTCTAGTTCACCATCATATTTACCAGTGCCCACCAATGAATACCCTCAACAAGAATTTACTGAGGGTTAACCATGTACCAGACCTGGTGCTAGCTAGGCCTTGGGAAATAGCCTTACGTAATACAGTCTCTGCTCTCCAAAACTAATACCCATAAAAGAGATTGACTAGAACTAGGAGGAGAAAAGGAACAGAAAATAGGCCAGTGTTAATAACCTAAGAGTTTTAGAAAGACAAGATTTATTCTTTTTCCCCCAAATGGTTACCTGTCTGGCCTCCTTCTAACACCTAGGCCTCTGCCCAAATGTGACTCAACAACAGATGGCCCTCTGACAACACAATATTAATACAAATCATTTCCCATCACCCACCCCTCTCATCTGTTCATTCTCCTTCTTCATTATCTGCTTTATTTTCTTCACAGTGTTCATCACTATCTGGAATCATATTATTTACACATTGGACTCTGTTCCTCTACTAAAATATAAGTCCCACAAGAGCAGGACCTCATGTGTCTTGTCTACTGCTCCCTCCCTTTCACCTAGTATAGTGGCTAGTGCACAACAGGCATTCAAAAAACATTTGTGGAGGGCTGGGATTGTGACTTAGAGGTAGAGCGCTTGCCTAGCATGTGTGAGGCACTGGGTTTGATTCTCAGCACCACATACAAATAAATAAAATAAAAAATGTCATCAACAACTAATAAAAAATATTTTAAAAAAACATTTGTAGAATGGAGGTGCTCCCACCAGTGAAGTATACACTAAGGATATTTATAGATTTTTCTCACCCAGAAGAGCATCAATTCTCAAAGAAAGCTTGACTCAACCCTGAGAAAAACAGAAGTCAAGCTAGTTATGAGAATCAATAACCAGTGAAAAATTCTGAAATCTCTGATTTGGAAACAAAGGAAACAATTAAGCAATGGTGCTAGGAAAGTATTTTCATGCACTGCCCTTTTTATAATGACTCTAAGTTACATAGTTTGTTTCCAGAATGTTCTCTGATCAGTTATCATTCATTCAAATAAAGATCAACATAACTGAATTTCTATGAAAAAGATCAATACATAGACTAAGAATTATTTTTCAGTCTTATTGTAAAACAACTTTTTTTGCTTTTTTCCCACAGTGCTAGGGATGGAACCCAAGGCCTCATGCATATCAAGCAAGTGCTCTACCACTGAGATACATTTCCAAGTCCTAAAGTAGCTATTTTTAAAAGGCTTCTGATAGAGCTGGTATAGTTATAAAGTTACAAAGTAAAATTGGCAGCTAGTACACCAATGCTAATGAGACTATAAATTCAGGACAAACTCTCCTACAATGGTACCCTCTATAGTACCCTGATATAACACTAGATACATAGTAAGTGCTTTACTAATATTTATTTATTGAGTTATCAAGAACTTATTCTTGGTATCCATTTTGGTATAGAAAAATAATGTACAAAACCCATCAAATAAGTAAAGACTTGCCAAATTCTTAACAGAAAAAAGTACATGGAAGGGCTTTGAGCTCCACACTGAACCAAAAGCTGTAAGAAAAAAGCAGCTGTACAGAAAGATATTTACCATTGAATCCTGGAACCCTTAAAAATGGGATTTAGCTACATTATAACTTTTACTGCTCCAGATAGTGTTCTAAACTTGGGAGGTGGAGGGAATCAATCTTGGAAATGTTCCAAGAGGATGAATCCAGTTAGTCCTAATCAATAAATGGCAAACTAGCAGATGAGCTGATGGGTTCTTTTATGTGCTTCTTTTTGCCTGTTTATTTTCTGCAGTGAGCAGCACTGCTTTCGTAAAAACAAAACAAAAAAAGCTTTCATTAAAAAAAATTAATGACTTGAAAGCCAACAAGTAGGACAACTATTACTTTTTTTCTCCCTTTCTCTAAACAATAACCATGTTGTTTTTGTGCACAGATTCAACTGGCAGGGAACCTCTGATTACCAGATGTCATGGTCAGATGTGTTCTAGTCACTGATAAGGTGCTTTCTATTGTAAACAAGGAACTCTTAGGGTCAGTTAGCCCTCAGTAAGGGCTTTGCAGTACAGCTAAGGCTTCAAATTAAGTGTTCAAGCAAAGCGTCATGGTCCCATTTCAAAAGTGCTAGGAGTCTCCTGCACCCTATGACCAGCTGGACTAGATCAAGGATTTGCAAATATTCTGGTTTCAGGAACATTTTACTTTCTTATCCATGGAGACCTCACAAAGATTTGGATTATGTGAATTATAACTATCAGTATTCACTGTAATAGAAATTAAAATTGAGAATTAAATAATACACAAGAACATTAGAGCCATCAGGATGGTGATATCACACATTTTGGTAGCCTCTGGAAAACTCCACTGTACCCTGGTGAAAAGGCAAGAGTGAAAAGGACAAACACCTTCTTAGTATTATTCTGAAAAGTTTTGATTTCAGAGACCCCCAGGAAAGGTCCTTGAGAATGACTGGATTAGATAAGCAAGATTCCTTCTGATGCTATGATTCTGAAGCAGGGTTTCTCAACCTGGACACTATTAACACTTTGAAGCAGACAATTCTTTGTTGAGAAGGGCTGCCCCGTGCCTATAGGAAATTTAGCAGCATATTTGGCCTCTATCCACCAGATGCCAAAAGCAATCCCCCAGTTGTGACAACCAAAAATATCTCCAGATATTGCCAAATATCCCCTGGTGGAAAACCCACTCTTTCAGGGTGTTGATTTTATTCTACTAAAATTTGAATTACAAAATGTTTACCTCTCATTGCCTTCTCAGACCTCCAAATAGGTCTATTTCTTTCCCACTCCCATCTGGGTCTGTTCCTTCTTTTCTTTCAAGTCACAAACAGAAAGAGTCAGTGGGTAACAAGCTCCGTACAGATCAGGTCAGGAAGAGCCATTCTGATCAAAGTGCACGTTTAGGCATTAAAGCTGTTAAGGGCCCAAGGTCTATTGGGGCACAGCACTATCAGCTAACATTCATTCACCCAGACATTCTTAGGACCTGATAACAACCCAAATTACCTACCCTTTCCTCCAAAAAAGAGGTAGCAGAATAATTCAGTGATGGGGAGGAAGAAAACAAGAGATTCTGAGAGCAAAAAGGTAGTATACAAAACTTAGATACACAACCACCAAAACCTCTCATCTGGGAAGCTTTCCCAACTGAAGCATCTGGGGATTTTTTGATCAGGGTCTGGCTGGGAGGAAGTAACAAAACTAATAGAAAATTGACATTCGCAACACCCCCAAGTCGGATATTCATTCCCCACCAAAGTCCTCACCCATCCTTTGAGTCTTGGTCCAAGTTTTCTCTCCTGAAAATTGCCCCCAACCAACCTACGTCCCTTTACCCTTAAAACTCTGAGAAGCAAACACCAAATCCAGTATCATTCCTCATGTCTTCACTCACCCTTTACTCCACAACCTCAAATTCCAACCTACAAAACCCCTAGCTCCTTGCCCTCCAGCTCTACTTTCCTCTCTTCTCCCCACCCAAACTTCCCTGCCGCCCCACAGCCTGGCTGCCAGCTATTTCACGTAGGTACAGTGTCTTCCCTCCCAATCTCCTTTCTCACCGTATAGTTTTTCCACCATCTTCAAAAGTCTTCCCTGATCCTTGGAAACCAAGAATCCCCTAATTTTCTTTGCCGCCCCAGAATTTGCATGTACCGCCCTCCAGTGCTCACTCCTCAGTGTCTTCCCTAAGTTACACTTTCTACCCCGACCTCCTCCACTCTTCACTCTTTCCTGCCTGCTCCCTTGACGTCCACCCCCTACCCCTACTTGCCCCTTGTTACCCTCATGGGCCCTTATTCCCCGCCATTCTCGGTCAGGCCTTCTCTAGGTCACTGCTCCTCTCCCAGGGGCAACTGCCACCGCCCAGTGTCAGCTGCTGAGCTTCTCAGCTCCCTCCCCCTCAGTCCAGCCTTTCAGGTTGTGGCCTTTGAACCTGCGCCCCGGGCCCAAGCTGAGAAACTAATCTCAAGGGCCCGGACAACTCACCCAGGACGAGACAGAGCAGCAGAAGCCCGGAGCCTGAAAGCCAGGAGGGACGGAAGTACACCATGATCCTACAGGGCTGGAGGCGGCGGTGACAACAAGGGCAGCAACACCAGCGAAACGGCTCACTGGACCTGGGGACAGCGCACGGGTGACCACCGACCACAGCGCTGTGAGAGCCAAGAATCGCCGCTTCAGCCCGAGTCATAAGACCAGGGGCGGGGCTCTTTCTTGCGTTCAGCCAATCCCCACGCTTGAAAGCGGCGAGAGGGGTGGTGATGTAGGGGCTGGTGGGCGGGGCGACCACGCCCTGGCTTTTTGGTTCACAACCGTTCTTGAGTTCCTAGGAGATTTGCGCGGACGGTATTTTCCAAAGCTAAGGAGAGAGGATGAACTTTTGAGGACTGTAGATAAGAGATTATTTCTGTTCTGGCTCTTTAAGGAAGAAAAAGACATTTACTTACAAAAAGCAGTGTTAGGCATACAAAATAATATATGATTATTCTTTAAACGCTGTTGTTAACTATGTAGTTTATACTAGTAGATGGGCCAGGAAGCTAGGGGGTAGTATGGAGTCACTGACCACCAGAGGAGGACGTGGTCTTAAAGTTCACCAAGTTACAACACCCTGTTTTTCGGATGGGGAAACTGAACTCAGAAAGAGGAACTGTCTTTTTTTTTCCCCCTTTCTTTCTTTCTTTCTTTCTTTCTTCCTTTTTTTTTTTTTTTTGTACCGGGAATTGAACCCAGGGACACTTAATCACTGAGCCACATCCTCAGCCCTATTTTGTATTTTATTTAGAGACAGGGTCTTCACTGAGTTACTCAGCATCTTGCTTCTGCTGAGACTGGCTTTGAAGTTGCGATTCTCCTGCCTCAGCCTCCAGAGCTTCTAGGATTGCAGGCAAGCACCACCACACCCAGCTTGGGAACTGCCTTTTTTTAAATACAGGAAGAAAAAAAAATGAGAGACATAGAAGGATTAAGGGTTAGAATTAATTAAGATCACTCACATAGGGTTGGGGTTGTGGCTCAGCGGTAGAGTGCTCACTTAAGCACGTGCTAGGCCCTGGGTTCGATCCTCAGCACCACATAAAAATAAAGATACTGTGTCCAACTACAGCTAAAAAATTTTAAAAAGATCATTCATATTATTACCTAAATAGACCTGTTAACATTCTATACATGTATTCTGTAATGGTATATTTGCCAAGTGAAAAGACAAAACCTAAGGCAACAGATCAAAGCATTCGAACACCCTAAAAATCTCAAGTTGGAATAAAATGCTGATTCTCAAATGTTAGTCTTCAAAAGAATCATCTCAGTGTTTTTAAAAACAACTGATACCAGTACCTCATTTCCCAGAGATTCTGAAATAGAAAATCTATGGTAGGCCTACATATCTGTTATTTACTTTTTCTTCCCCCTTCCTTTTTTTTTTTTTTGGACTGGGAATTGAACCCAGTAGCACTTTTCCACTGACCTACATCTCCAGTCCTTTTTTATTAAAACTGAATACCAATTTTTTTATATCTTCATTTTATTTATTTATTTTTATGTGGTGATGAGGATCTAACTCAGTGCCTCACATGTGCTAGGCAAGGACTCTACCACTGAGCCACAACTCCAACCCCTCCAGTCCTTTTTGCTTTTCATTTTGAGACAAGGTCTAAACTGCTAAATTATAGAATAACTTGCTAAATTGCTGAGGCTGGCCTCTAACTTGCAATCCCCTTGTCTCAGCCTCCAGACTAGCTGGGAAGGCATCCTTCACCACACAAGGAAAAATCTGATATTATCTTTAAACAAACACTGTCTTCATGTTGTTGTCCTTGGGCCACACTTTGCAAAACACTAAAATACAACTTCAAAATCCTCTAGTTCAGGAGATCTTCACCTGGGGTCTGTAAATGTGCTTGGTCATAGATTTGGAATGTGGGAAGGCTCTTCAGTGAATTCAGTGAATTCCTAGAATTTACATGTGACATTTATGTATGTGTATTTTTCTGGGGAACTTTATAGCTTTAACTAATGGAACCTGTGACTCCCCACCCTAGTCCTCACTCTCACCCAAATGTTAAGAACCACTGATGGGGGCTGGGGGTATAGTTCAGTTGGTAGAGTGCTTGTCTGGCAAGCATAAGGCCCTGGGTTCAATCCCCAGCACCAAAAAAAAAAAAAAAAAAAAAACACACCACTGATCTGTCTATACTATCATTTACTTTAACTTAGTTAACTCCTGAAAGTGAGAATACTGTGATGGGGAAACTAACTCATGAGCAAGTGACTTGCCCAACACAGGCTAATATACACTCATTATTAGTCATTGCTTTAAGCAAGATGTCGTTTGACTGCCTCGCCATCAATAAGATTCAGCTAGAGCTGTGCTGAATCAAAGAACACATGACTGAGGTGAGCCCTCAGAAGTTGCCCCACCAATCCTTACTGATGGACTCTGGCCCTTCTCTCTCAAAGCAAGTTGCATAACTTTAATATTCAGCAAAACTCTATGTTCTAGAGGAAAAGACAAAAGAGCCTAGTGGAAAGAGTATTAGATTCGCTGAGAGCTGGGTATGAGACACCACTTACTAGAAGCATAACCTTGGGAAAATTGCTCCATCTCTTTAAGCTTCTGTATCCTTATCTATAAAATGAAATAATAAGACTAGAACTGTGGTTCTCAATCCTGGCTACACATTGGAATCACTTGTGGAGCTTTAAAATAGAGATGCCTCTTGGTCCCATCCTTTGAGATCCTGATTTGATTGCTCTGGAGTCAGAACACAGCATGGTAATCTCAAAACCCTCAAAGGCAGCTAGGAACAGTGGTGCAGCCCTGTAATCCCAGTGACTCAAGAGACTGACACAGGAGGATCACCAGTGAGGCCCGCCTCAGCCACTTAGACCATGTCTCAAAATGAAAAGTAAAAAGGACTGGGGATGTAGTTCAATGGTAAAGCTTTACCATTCCAGGGTTCTATATAAGTAAACACTCATTTATTTATTTAAAATATAAGGAACTAGGTGTCTCAAGCAGTCAGATACCTGGTTTAATATATTGCTGCCCTTTATCTCTTGTAAATGTTATCAAATTTACAAAAGAGGGGGCTTGGGATGCAGCTTAGTGATAGAGTACTTGCCTAGAACAGTTTTTGAAAAGGAACTCAGTAAAATATGAGCAGTCTCATTAGGTAAGAATTCAACTCAAACAAAAACAAAATTCTGTTTCTCTGCAATAAGGCTGGGCACAGTGGCACATGGCTGTAATCCCAATAAATTGGGAGGTTGAGACTGAAGATCACAAGTTCAAAGCCAGCCTCAGCAAACTCAATGAGGCCCTAAGCAACTTAGCAAGACCCTGTCTCTAAATAAAAAATAAAAAGGCCTGGGGTTGTAGCTAGTGGTTAAGTACCCCTGGGTTCAGTCTCTATGCCACCCCACCCGCCACCGCCCCCCCCAAAAAAAATTGACTGGGATATGTGCCCTCATGAGATAGACTGATGTTTTTGGACATGGTAGACATTTTGTCAGAATAAATAGGCTAAAAATTCTCAAATCTTTGTTGGGTCTGAGTTTCATATTCACAATTGTTTAATGCTTTACCCTTGAAACACTCAGATTTTTCACTTTCTGCATGTCATTACCCTGCCCCAGGTTAAAGGAATTTTTCCTGGGCTTTCTGTGGTAGAGGAAGATCTACACATGGGACCAAGGTCCATGTTTGAGTAATTTGGATAGCTTCTCTCTTATGCAAGCTTCACATCTGTTCACTCGCTTGCTGATACTGCTGTATCCAAAGCACTTCCATGTGCTTTTTGGCCATACCTCATACCTTTTCAGTGCACAAAACTCCTCAGCAGGCCTGCCTCAACCACTATATGACTCTTTTAAGTAACTTTGAGCATTCATGACCAAAGAATTTTGGACCAAAGAGTAGGGGATCACTGACAAACTCTTCCTTAAATGTCAAGGCACTGAATAGTGTAAGAAATGTTGAGCCTATTGGATTTTGGAAATGATAGACAATAAAATGTAGGGATGGGAAAAAGAAATGAACTTAAAGGTGCAGAGATTAAAACTGGAAAAATGATGAACACATTAAATAAACAAGTGGCTGTGAGAGAATAGTGTCATCTACTTGCTACCATGTGATCTTTATTTTTTTAAATTTCATTCTCTCTTTTTTAATGTTCTCATCCTCCTTTTAATTTATCTTACACTCTCTCTTCCCTTTCTTTTTTAGCATTTTCTCCTTTTCTGGATAATGCCTTCAGGCTGTGACAGTGTGGTGAACACTCAAATCCTACAGAGAGATGGGGTGGAGGGGTTGCCAACCCTTGAGCTGGAGCTCTCTGGGAAAATGGAAGTATGCCATTTTGCTTTTGCATTTGTTTTCCCCAGAAGGATTCTCTTTAACCTCCCCTGGGAAAACATCCGAGCTAATCAGCTAAAATGACATGTTTCTCACCTTTGAGCCTGCATTACAATCACCTGAAGGACCCCACTGCAAATCTGAGCAGGAGAGGAGAGCATTAGAATCTGCTTTTTTAGCAACTTCCCAGGTGACCCAGACACTGCTGGACTGGTGACCACACTCTGAACCCTGGGATCCTGAACTCGTCAGGGATTCCCTGTCCTTGGTGGATGTGATTAAGAAGTGGGGAAGGGAAGGAAAAGAGGATTGGGGGAAGAAGGAAGGAAAAGGAGATAGGGAATAGGGGGGATCATGAACTGAAATTGAATTCCATGCACATATAAATTTGTCATAAAAACCCAAAACTATGTATAACCATAAAGCTCTAATAAAAAGTGGGGGATTTATATTAATTTCTGCAGTATTTATATTTGTATAACAAAAGGATTGTTTTTATAATAATGATTTTTAAATTAGCTAAGGCAAATCATTTTAAAAATCAAATAATTTTGGAAAGTATGTGTGCTAGAAACGTAGTTCAGTGGTTGATCACTTGTTTATCATGTATGAGGCTCTGGGCTCAATCCTCAGCACCAAAAATAAAAATATAGAAACAAGTATAAAATTCATGTATAACCAGAGGAATGAAAAGCTGTGTTCCATTTATGTAAAAAATAAAATTAAATAAATTTTAAAAAGAAATAAGTATAAAATCAAAAGAAAACACCATTTCCCATTCCTTGCATCCCATTCCCTCTCCTCAAAGCAACAACTGTTAACATCTTCCTTTATGTACTCTTTGGAAAAAACGTATGCACACACCAGCTTTTTTTTTTTTTTTAAAGAGAATTTTAACATTTATTTATTTGGTTCTCGGCGGACGCAACATCTTCGTTTGTATGTGGTGCTGAGGATCGAACCCGGGCCGCACGCATGCTAGGCGAGCGCGTTACCGCTTGAGC